CCGCCTCTATGAGTTTGACTGCTCTAAGTACCTCATGTGAATGAAATCATACAATATTTATCCTTTTAAAACTGGCCTATTGGGATACCTGTGTGGCTCAGTTGGTTAAGCGTCTGCCTTTGGCTCAGGTCATGATCCCAGGGTCCTGGGGTCGAGTCCCGCATCAGGCTCCTTGCTCAGCGGGGAGCCTGCTTCTCCTTCTCCCTCTGCCTGCTGCTCACCCTCCTTGTGTTCTCGCGTGCGCGCTCTCTCTCTCTCTCAAATAAATAAATTAAAAAAAAAACTGGCTTATTTCACTTAGCGCAATGCCATCAAGTTTCATCCACATTGAGGCATAAGTCAGAATTTTCTTCCTTTTTAAGGCTGAACAATATTCCACTGAATGGCTATTTTTGTTTCTCCATTTGTGCAGTCAATGGTATTTGGGTTGTTTCAAACCTTTGGCTATTGTGAATAATGATGCTATGAATATACAAGTTGTCAAGCATACAAGTTTTCCTTGAATGTTTCAATTGGGCAGCAAGACACATTAAGATAGACTTCAATATTTCTTAACTTTGATGAAGGAGGCAGGAACAAATCAGAAATCCTAGAACTATCAGAAACTTCTTTCCTGTGCTTCCAAAGGGTAGAATAATTTTGTTGTGGAAGGAGTCTCTTTGAGAAGCTCTCTTCATCTTGTATACTGGTTTGAGGTCCCTTAAGAACACTTCAGATATTGGTCAGTAATCTCAATATTTTAGTTGTGATTTAAACATTTTGTCTAACTATATGAAGACCCTCTGATGAGTAAATTACTATAAAAACTTTTTAAATTTTTATTTATTTATTTATAGAGAGAGAGCACATGCACGTACTTGCAAGTAAGTGGTGGAGAGGGGCAGAGGGAGAGAGAGAATCTTAAGCGACTCCACGCCCAGTGTGGAGCCCAACTTGGGGCTCAATCTCAGGACCCTGAGATCATGACCTGAGCTGAAATAAAGAGCCAGATGCTCAGCTGACTAAGCCACCCAGGCGTCCCTCTAAAAAATTTTTAGAAAAATTAAGTTTAAAATGATTTCTTTAGGGGCACCTGGCTGGCTCAGTCAGTAGAGCATGTGACTTTTGATTTTGGGGTTGTGAGTTCGAGCCCCACATTGGGTATAGAGATAACTTAAAAATAAAATTTTTAGAAAATAAAAAATAAAATGATTTAAAAGCTTTAATTTTTATTTATTTATTTATTTATTTATTTATTTATTTATTTATTTATTTATTTATTTTTTAGAGAGAGAGCATAAGCGGGGTGGGGGTAGAGGGAGAGAGAGAGAGAATCTTAAGCAAGTTCCATGCCCAGCAAGGAGTCCCACATGGGGCTCAGTCTCATGACCCTGAGATTATGACCTGAGCCAAAATCAGGAGTTGGACGCTTAACTGACTGAGCCACCCAGGTGCCCCCTAAAATAATTTTTTTTACGTGTGGAAATTTACAGGGTTTTTTTGGAGAGCCAGGAAACTGGTATAGCCTGAAGCCTGAAGAAGGAGCTGCTGGTAATGAACAAGATGTACACAGATGAGCAAAATAAAATGCTTTGAATTGGTAAGAAGTATATTTTGCATTTTTTTCAACAATTCTTACATAGTGGTTCTGAATTAAATTTTAAAACATTATAAAATCTGCACATTATATTAATATGTACAAATAATAATTTGAAGTGTACATATAATTAAAAAAAATTTAAATTGCATGTTGTTTTTTTTTTCTTCGCTCTACTTCCTGTCTCTTTTGGTGGACGGTTTTGTGGAGGACACGTGGCAAATGTAACCTAATACAGTCCTCAAAGCTATCTGGTTCACTGATGTCATCCTTTCTTGTTTGAAAGCACTGTTGCATATTTAATTGTGTGTGTGTGTGTTTATCTTTGGTCACTTTACTGAAAGAGAGAACTTTCAGGGGTTACAATGCCATCTTGAAACTAAAAGTCAAAAGTTTTTGATGAAGTCACTGAAATCTAGATATGGACAAAGAGAGCTCTCTAAATTCTTTTTTTTTTTTTAATTTTTAAGATTCTATTTATTTGACAGAGAGAGACACAGCGAGAGAGGGAACACAAGCAGGGGGAGGGGGAGAGGGAGAAGGAGGCTTCCCGCTGAGCACGGAGCCCTAATGCGGGGCTCAATCCCAGGACCCTGAGATCATGACTTGAGCCACCCAGGCGCCCCTCTAAATTCTCTTTAAGAAGATGTTGGTGTATTGGCCATGCTCTCTTAAAAGAACATTTTTCTTAAGCTAAAGGTTTTCTCAGCAATAATTCCACTGCTGCAAATTTAACACTGGTTTAATATTCTGTTTTAATTCTAGTGACACATACCGACCAGGAGATAATTTTTAATTCTTTGATTTCATGAACTCATCGTTGGGTAAGAAGTAATTCTTTTTACCAAAAAAAAAAATGAAAGCAACAAAATGAGCCAATAAAAAGAATTGATGAGAGTCACACAATCTAATGTAGAATATGAGTCACATGGATTATGCTAATATAAAAATTTTCAAAATATTAAAAATGTGATTCATGCAAATATAAAAAGAAAACCTAAGATTTTATTCAACTAATTTAATTCATGAGGTACTCAGCAAGCTGTTGACTTCAAAGGAGTACTAGTAAGATATCAAGGTTCCAAGGAAAATTTGAAGAATATACTATACATACACATATATTTATCTGTTAGGTGTGATAAGATGAATTTGCTAAATGCGAAACCGGCTGACATCATATAAGACAAAATCTTACTATTAGATTTATCTTATTTTCACATGGGAAGAATCACTTCTACCTCTACTGGAAAAATTAATTTGCATTGCCATGGACAAGAATCTTTTGCACTCTCAATTTTCTGCAAGTGATCTTCTACCCCTACCTACAGAGTTGTAAAATAGCTTCGTTAATAAAAAGTCCATCACGGGGCGCCTGGGTGGCTCAGTAGTTAAGTGTCTGCCTTTGGCTCAGGTCATGATCCCAGGGTCCTGGGATTGAGCCCCACATCGGGCTCCCTGCTCTGCGGGAAGCCTGCTTCTCCCTCTCCCACTCCCCCTGCTTGTGTTCCCTCTCTCGCTGTGTCTCTCTCTGTCAAATAAATAAATAAAATCTTTAAAAAAAATAAAAAATAAAAAGTCCATCAAATGTGCACAACCCTATAGAATTAGACAATCCCCAGAAGGGTTATAACACCCAGCACCCCACTGGAAAGACCCAGTAAACTCGCCCATTTCCACGTTTTGGACTATTTCCCCCCGATATCACCAATTAAAAAAATATGTGTATATATACACACACACATACACACAAATACATTTAAACTTATTTACTCTGCAGGGGACATGGGTGAGAAGTATAGGCTGGCTTAACAATGTCCTAAATGAATGTATTTTTGTTGAAACAATGACATGGTTTCAAAGTGTGTGAAGAATTGAGCTTAACAAAAACTTTGTCCAAATTATAGAGGATAGACCCCTGTAACCCCACTGCCCATCTACTACTCCCCAAAGCAGGCTCTTATCTTTGCTGAACAAAAAATAATTAGCAAGAAAGCCTGCTGCAAAGGAGCCGAGGCAGTTTATTTTTAACTTCTTTTTAAGGCTGCACAAGTTTGGCCCTTATATGGGTGTGTTCACGGGTGGTTAGATTTAGGGCAGGCTCATGGTGGAAAGAGAAAGCAAGTGAGGCTATGGGAGAAGTAGTAGGGGGGCCCTGCTCTTGGACACACATGCCAAGCTCAAAGCCTTCAAACTGGAACTTATCCCCCCTCCCAGCCTCTCCCTACCCCAACTTGCAAATAGTCCCCTTGGGTCTCTATCTCAGGGACTTCCACCACCATCATCCACCAAGCTGCCCAAACCAGAAATTTAGGTGACATCTAATTTCTCTTTCTTTCTCGTGCACATTCTACTGGTCATAAAATCCAGGGGATTTCCACCCAATACCGCTCTCATTTGCCACTTCTCATTGCCAGTGCCGTGCTCCTGGACGGGTCCTCTCTTGCCTGGATTCCTGCAGCCGCCGCAGGCTGGTCTTCCCGCCTCCCTAGCCCCAGTCCCAATCCCACAGAGCAGACACGGGAGCCTTTCCTGGTGAGGTCACTCTCTGCTTAAAACCCTGTTACAGCCTCTGAGCAACCTCCTTTCCTTGGTTTGTGAGGTCGTCCTTATCTCTGCAGCTTAATGCCTCTCTCCAACCATCTGTCCCCACTCTAAGGAGACCCTCCCCATTTCTAGCCTGAGCTCTTGGGTTCCTGTCTCTCTGTATAAGCCCTTCTCACCGCTTAGATTCCCCTCCCACGTCTTTTGCATCCTCTGGGTCTTCGCTTACTTCCTCAAGAAGCCTTCCCGAAGCCCCAAGCTGAATGTCCTCCGTGCGGCAGAACTCCTGTCAGCTCCTCCCCCACCACGGCTCCGTCGCCCCGTGCAATCCGGTCACCTGGTCGTCTGTCGCCCTTGGGTGGACTGGACCGTTGGCTTCTTGCCCTCTCACCTTGAGCTTGGAGCACCAGCCACTTCACCCCCAGTACTCTCTCCTCAGATTCCCGCTCCTTTGCCCCTCACCCCTCCTCCTCTGCCACCCGGGGTGCCCCCCTGAGCCCCAGGGAGCCTCGGATCTCCCAATCGTCCCTTATGCTTGCAGCACGGTGGACGTTTCGTCCTGGCACGGTCCGGGACTCTAGGGTCAGCTATGTCATTATGTGCTGGATGTCTGTCCCTATTTGCAGCACGTCCGCGCCCAGTATGCGGACCCTGTCGCCCCGCCCGCCGTGTCCCCCGGGCCACCGCGTGCCGGGCGCGCAGCAGGTGCACGAGCGAGCGAGGGGCGCGCAGCGAATGAGCGTCTTGCGGGCAGCGCAGGCCACGCCGGGAGGAAGGGCCCACGCCCCGCCGCCTCCCCGGGACCCCGCGGCGCCCTCCGCTCCCCAGCGCGGCGCCGGAAGCGGCCGGGCCGGCCCCCTCCCCGCGGCGCCCGCAGCCTTATCTCGGCGCCTCGGGGCCGCGGGAGGAGTCGCGGGCGCGCCGGGAGGGACGCGGCGGCGGCGGCGGCGGCATGGGCCGGGGGCCCCGGGGCGCGGGCCGCCAGCCTCGCCGCCTGCTGCCGCTCCTGCTGCTGCTCGGCCTGGCCAGCGGCGGGGGCCGAGCGCCGGGCGCCGACGGTGAGTGCGGGCGGGGGCGGGGGCGGGGGCGGGGGCGCCGGCTGGGTGCCCCGGCTGGGCCCTCGACGACGCCGGGCGCGCCCGGGACGCTTCCCCGCCCCCGGGCAGGGCCGGCGCGGAGCCCGGGCGTGGAGCGCAGGTGGGGCCCGCTCGGGCCGTTGGGGCGCGGGAAGGCGGGGCGCACGGAGGCAGGAGGGGCTCCCCGCCCCCGCCCCGGGCCGCTGGGGGAGGCTGCGTGGGGCACCTGTCTCAGGCGGCCTCGCCCTCGGCGCCCCGGACCTGGGGCGAGGCGGGGGGTGGGCGCGAGCCGGGGCCCCGGGGGAGAACCGCGCCCGGCGTGGAAGGGCGCGGAAGGGCGCGGAAGGGCGTTCCGGCTGCACTGTCACGCTTCCGGCTCTGCTGTGGCTTTGGCGCGACAAATTCTTGACCCGAAGCAATTTTCTTTCTACCTTTTCATTCTTTTCTCCTAAATGAAGAACCAGATGCTAATGGGGTGAGAAAGAAGTGCAAGGAAGATTACAGGAATAAAGCATTCCTTAATCAAGTCATTCATTCAACAGATGGTCCTTGAATTCCTGTGCAGGATGCGAGGTCGCCGCGCTGGCCCTCATTGAGCTCCTGTTCTGGAGGCGACAGACAAGCAAATCATCCATTTCCAGGCAATTGGAACGCGTTGGCACAGGTGGTAGGATGCAAACATGTAGGGGAGGTGGCATTTACCCACTTACCCAAGTAACCGTAATAGAAGGCAGAATGCCCTAGGTGCCCTGAGAAGGTGTAAGTGGTCCGAGGAGGGCAAGATTCATTCTAGCTTGCTGAATCTGAAGGCATTAGGGATGAGATGACTCTTGAACTGGGCCAACAGGTTTGGTAATATTTGGATATGGGAAGGTGAGGAAAAGGCATCCCAGCTCATAGCAGAGGGGACAGTGAGCTCTCCATAAATATAGGCAGAATGGATGAATTCCACATGGAAGGGACAGTGTGAGGAAGCACATAGAGGTATAAAAGCATGGGGCCTATGGTATGTAGGAGATGGGTGGGAAATGGAAGTGGAAAAGCAGATTGGATTAACCAGAAGGCAGAAAGCCTTGCTTGGCAGACAAAGAAGGTATTTAGACTTAGCTGTTCCTGGGTGGTGGGAAGCCATTAGAAGTCATTGCAGGCTTTTGTACAGGGAGTGATATAAAAAGTGGGTGTAAGGAAACTCTCCAGCTTTTTTAGTAAAATCATTCATCCTGAAATAGAAGGGAACTTCCATGTAGGGAGATTGGGGGGGGTGGATTTTGTGGCTCAGACTCCTGTTCCCTCAAATTTCTTTTCATCTTTGGATTTTTACCACCACTGGTGGGTGTTTCTCTTGCTGGCTCAACCTTCTGGGGTGGCCATTTTTGTACATCAGATATTCTGGTAGGCTTTCTAACTTCCTTCCCTGACTTGGTCTCCCACGGCAGTGTGCAAAGAAACCTGTAGATGCTTGGGACCTATTTTGGAATCTGTGTTAAAGCTCTCTAGCCTAGGCAACAGTCCCACATGGTCCCATTGAATTACCAGGTTAAGATGGTGGAGCAGAGTAACTACCTAAAGGCTACTACTTAAAGGCTGTTGGGTGAATTTTGGTAAATGGAAGTCAGGGGTGCCCAGTAGAGCTTCCTCTCCCTACGTAGGCACTCTTTCTTCATTTACAATCTTGAAGAATCTGGTTTTATTAAGGGTAGGTTTCCTTCCAGTGGACAATGTGGGGAATGCCTGGAGGCTTAGAACCATTGAGGAAGTTGTAATAGCTGGCCTGCAAGTTCTGAGGACTGGGCCCACCGTAAAGAGAGCAGCAGGAGAAAGGGATTGAACGCAGATAATAAGGAAGAAATGGAACCGAAGGACTTAACAACGGACATTAAGTTGCCAGTGAACAGAAGAGAAAGGGGACATGAAGGTTTGAGGCCTGGGTGACTTGGATATATGGTTGTGTAGGAGGAGGAAAAAGATTTGGGAAGAAAGAGAAGTCATTTTGGATATCCTGAATTTGAGGTGATGTTAGGGCTTCTGGAGAGGTGAAGTCAACAGGGAGTTAAGACTGTGGACAAGAGGTGCGTGCCAGTGATGGGAGACTTGGTGGTCATTTGAAAACTTTAAGTTGGTAAAGAGGAAGGAGACCCAGGGCAGATTTTGGGGGAAGACCCATTTTCTATGGTAGGTGCACATGGAGGAGAAAGAGAGTGGCCACACAGTGGGGAGGAGGACTGGGCCAGTCAAGTGTCCAAGGAAGCCAGAGGAAGGGGAGCTGTGGGAGTGGAGACTGAGAAAAAAGCTCTGGATTTGGTGGCTCTGTCAGCGTGGGCCAGGGCTGGCGGAGCAGGGAGGGCGAGAGCCAGATGCAGAGGGCTCTGGTGAGTGCAGAGATGTTGGTTGGCTCTTAAAGATACTCTTGAAGTTAGAAGCACAGGGAAGATCGCATTCAGCTAGGCTGGCCAGGTCTGGGCAAGAATTTTTCTTCTTCTTCTTTTTGCGGGGTGGTGGTTTTGATAAAGTAGCACAAGCACACCGCAGTGTGAAGGGCATTACTCAGTAGAGACGCGGACGTTAAAGATGCAGAAATAAATGCGGTACTTAATGGAGCATGTCCGAAAGCGAAATTGGTCTACGAGGGGGAAAGCTTAGTCTCTGCGAGGGGAGGGGAGGCGAAGAATGAGAAGAACCGCTCTTCCCTTTCGCCACAGCTGTCTGCTTAGGGAGGGCTCTTCGTATTTCAAAACCAGCCCAGTTGGCCTCCCTCCTGGGAAGTTGTCAGTTCCCTGCAGCACCAGCGATTCGTCGCCCGTGCCTCTGTACCGAATTTGTAGGACGCACACGTATTTGTATGCGTCCTAGCATACACCAGCACGCGTACGTGTTGATACGGGGCCCTTACTCGACAGGCTTCTTTTTTTTAATAATATTTTTTAATTTGCATTTTATTATTATTTTTTTATTTTTTTAAAGATTTTATTTATTTATTCATGAGAGACAGAGAGAGAGAGAGGCAGAGGGAGAAGCAGGCTCCCAAGGAGCAGGGAGCCCGATGCGGGACTCGATCCCAGGACCCTGGGATCATGACCTGAGCCGAAGGCAGACGCTTAACGACTGAGCCACCCAGGCGCCCACTGCATAGTGCTGTTTACTAGACTACGAGCTTCATGTGAGTCGGGGGCTGTGGCCTGGATTAGGAATGTGGTATGAAAGGAAAGGAAGAGCAGCCAAATGGGAACAGGCGAGGGTTTATCCAGAGTTCGCTGTCGCAGGCGAGTCAGTCGGCATCACTCGGAGAGCCTGAGAGCGGCTCAGAGGGGACAGGCTTCCGGTGTGCCCCCAGCGCGAGGCCGGAGGCTGCTGGCCTGGAGGGGCTGGAGAAGCTGGAGGTGGCGTCCCATCAGCCCACATGCTGCGTGATTGGCTGGGGGAGCGTACTTGGCTCTCTCTGATTGGTCCTACGTGCGAAGCGGGGGCAACAATCAGGGAAGCCAGCTGGGAGCGAGCGAGTCCTGACCATTTGGGTCTTACTGCTTAGGGAGGGCTCTTCGTATTTCAAAACCAGCCCATCCGCGTGGGTCCGAGTTCTGTTTTTATCTATGGCCTGGCCATTGTCTGTGCGTCCATTCAGTGTCTCACTGGTAACGTGGGCTGAATTAACACTGAATCGTTCCCGAAGATGTTTCAGGGAGGAGAGAGTGGAGTGGGTGAAGACAGATGGCCTGGGTGTGAGGGAAGTGTGAGACGCATAGTTGGTAGAGCAGGAGGGTGTTGGGGGGTGGGTGGGGTGGGGGAATGGAAGGTTGGGAAAGGGCGAGGACAGGTAGAACCAGTCAGTCCTGTTTCTTAACCTTGTCAGGCATGGCACTGAGTCAGGAGTGGCTGGGGACTTGTTGGCTCCAGACGGGCTGGGTTGGGAAGGCCAGAAGGAGGAGGACAGGCAGAGGCCTTGAGAATCTTGGGGGAGGGAGTGATGATGGTGGAGAGGCCTGGAGGAGTTGATCTTGCTGTAGAACGTGCACGTGACATCACCAGTCCTGCATTTCATAGGCCTGCTCCTCACTCTGTCATCCGGAGTCACTGCTCAAGGTGGGAAAGAGGAGACGTGGCAGGGGGAGTGAGTTGTTTTGGAGTGACTTAACAGTTGCTCAAAGTAAGGGAGCAGGATTCAAGCTGATGGAGAAGATCCTCCCTGGGGTCTGTCTTCCGCTGCCGGGGTCTTGGCCCTGGGCGTGTCCTCAGCTTTCTGGTCCAGTCCTAAAATGGGTTCCTCTGTCTCTGCAGCCCCAGGTACCAAGTGGCCTCTTGGCCTTCACTCTGCAGAGGAGACAGGGGAAGTTAATTGCATGGATTAAAAAAACCATTTTCCGCCGGCTTTAGAGTGTGCGTCAGGTGGGAGGAACGCGTTAGTGGGTGACGTGCTGGACGTGAACCGAGAGTGTGGCCTAAATGAAAAGCTGCTTAACTCAAAACACAAAAGCTTTGAAATTGGGGCACTTAGTGAGGCTTGGTTCCTGGTCTGGAGGCCACGTGTGGGGGGGCCCCTCTGGAAGTTGGTCTTGGTCAAGCAGGAAAGTGGACACAAGAGGGCAAAAGGAAGCCGAGGGCTCCATCTAACCATCTTACACAAGTCAAGGTTGCAGGTTCTTGACGGGGAATGTCAGTCCTGGGTTGGGGTAGGGAAGAGTAATCTATAGTGATTCCCAATGCCCTGCAAGGATCGTCTTGCTTGAGAGAGTAGAGTACTCTCTATCTTGGGGGATTTTAAAGCAGAGGCTATGGTTTTGTTTTGTTTTGTTTGTCAGGCATGGGGAGAGGAGAGAATTCAAGATTTCTCAGGTTCCTTCCATTTCTGGAATTTGATGCAGTCCCTTAAGAACAATGCAGTTTTACATAATGTGGAAGACTGGGGAATGCTTTCTCTTCCTGAGTTATTGGCCCCCTTTGCCCATTTCCTCTGGTCATCTGCTCCGTTTCCACACATCTCCACAAGG